GAGCCCACCAAGGGGCCCCCCCTCTCCCCCTCTCTGTCTCTTCCTCTCTCTGTCTTTCTCTCTCACCCTCTCTCTCTCTCTCTCTATATATATATATACATACGACTACGACGACGACGCTGACGCTGACGCAGACGCCGACGCCGACGCCGACGCGTGGGGAGGAGGGATAAGGAGGAGAAGGAGGAGGAGGGGGAGGGGAGGATATGTTTTTTAACAGTGACCGCGCCTGCCACAATCATGCAGCAGGGAAACCATCAAGCACCACCCCATGTCGTTAGGGGTGCTTGCCATTGAGAATTCTGCACTTCCATCTCTCAAGACTGTTGCGTGTTTGGTGCCCGCATTCCTTCGCAAGTAAGTTGAGTGGACACGTACCTGTGATTGCCTTGCACCGTGCACAATCAAAAAAACTATTCGACTGTGCAGTGAAGTTCAATGAGTCTGTGACCTCTGGAGGCGGCTCCCTGCAACGCAGGCAGAATCTCTCCCGTGCAGCCCTCCGCTGGAGGGACGTCGCCTGCTTCACAGAGGCGCTCACATGGGACATGCGGTAAAGGGCGTCAGATCTTGAGACAGACCTCGTGTTGCCAGTAGCTGCGACACCACTCCTAGGCGTGCATCGTGGTCCCAGGAAGGGACTGGGCCCTGGGCTCGGGCTCCCGACGGGTCCAAGGACAATCCGTCAGGTCCAACGGGGGCCACCGGGACAGCAGACGGGGCGCCAAGGGAATCACCGCTTTCGAATCCTGATCTGCCTTGAAACTTCCGCCAGCTCCGCTGGATATCCTTGGGCATGAGCAGTGACTCCCGCCTTCGCAGCAATGTCGGCTGCGCAATTGCCAAATTTATCCCACCGTTGGTGATGCGTGAGGCTAGGATCGTCCGTGACGTGTGCCTTCACTTTTTGAAGGCTGCCCCCAAAAAGGCGACTGGGATAGCAGCATGATGCCTGCATGCATACGCTTGTATGAGGACGTTTCGGCGACAGACGTACTACATAAATCCACGATTTATTTACATTTCTACAAACCCGGGGCTCGATCAGCCAAGTGGTTGACGGTCATCCCCGGGGCCGCAAACTCGCCTGCTTGAGGCGTTTGGGCCAGAGGTCCGCAGACATGCCCCGACATCGAACAGGGCTCCCGAGATTCCAACCTGGGTGATCTGTACATACCCCATGAGGCCCTGCTGAGCTCTTTGATTGGGTGCCTCCAACAAGAGCCGCCGATAAACACCGGCCCAGAGACTTCTCCTGGTTCCCCTCTGTGGCTCTCATGCTGATGGTGTGTTCTGATACCCCCTTCTGTCGAGGATGTGGTAGGTGGTCTGCTGGGTGCTGGAAGACCAACTTAGTGTATAGTAGCAGTTTCTGAGCATTCTCCAAATCTAGGGCGAGCGCTGAGCCGATGATCTCCTGATCTACCAACTCTTCTCCCACTTCTCTACAGTGTGCGCATCTCGAACGGACCGCATAGAGAGCGCTGAGGCGATGGCAGCTCGTAGCCCAACTGGATCGTTCGATCCTTGGTCCACAGCGCCCCGCAGGTCAAGGACTTGACGCAGCCTTTCTTATTGCGCGAAGACTTACTGGACCTTTAGGCACCCGCAACAATGCCGCGACATGCTCGTCCCTGGATTCCGTGATTTGTACCAACATTTCTCTCTATTTTTTTTTTTGTCTCAGAACCGTTTTCTTATAACATTGCTTAACCAAGGTTGGGGAACATGACGTCAGTAAAACTACCTCTCCAAAATCATTCCTCGTTCCGCTGGAACTTGGCACTGACCACTTGATCCTCGGAAGGCTCATCCACATGACCATCATCAAGCCAGTAACTCTTCGGCAATCCGTAGCCATTTTGGCTCAAGTTGCCATCTCTCGAGGTGGCGCAGGGCCAACGCACGCTCCAGGTCTGGCCCAGCCCGCGTCCCTGGGGCCAGCCTGTGAGTCTTTGTTCGTGCACCGGACGGTGCCCTCACGTACTCATCATTCCCGCTCAAAAGCAGTTGGCCAGCACGGCACGTCCTCAGCCATGGCGAAGGCCGCAGGGCCAGCTGCTTGGGTTCAGTGTAAGAAGTGTGGCCCGCGCTCTTGGACTCCTGTGGCTAGCGGCAAGCTGTGGTGTCACATTTGCGGGCTATACTACAACAAGGGTGATCAGCCGCAGCGTGGAGCCAGTCGCCGCAAGGGCGTTGGCAAGAACGCAGGCGGCGGCAAGGGTGCAGGCAGCGCAGGAGGTGCTGCTGGGCTCTCCAAGCAGCAGCTCGACGCCATCGCCAAGCGCGTCTCCACCCTGGCAGCGGCCGCTGGCGCAACCCCGCCGCCAGCAGCTGGCAGCCCTCCCGCAGGCGCCGCGCCTGGCCGCGGGAAGGGCTCGCGCGGCACGGGCAAGGGCAAGGACGCTGCCGCGCCCGCGTCCGAGGTGGCCGACACCAGCGACAGGGACAAGAAGATCGAGCAACTCGAGCTTCTCGTCAGCACCTACCAGCAGCTGGACGCCAGCGTCATGCCCGACGTGGCCGCCAAGCTGCAGCAGGCCAGAGCCGACCTGGTGGAGGCGCGCGCTGCGCAGGCTGCTAGCCTGCCGCCAGCGCAGCGCATGGCGCGCTGCCACACACGTGTGCAGCGAGCCGCCGAGAAGGTCGAGAAGATCAAGAACCAGATCTCAGAGCTGGAGAAGACCCAGCAGGAGCTGCAGCAGCAGCTCGACGCCAACATCCAGTCCATGGACGAGCAGAAGAAACGTCTCGAGCAGGCCATGGACGACCAGCAGCGCGAGGAGCAGGACGCCAAGTCTGTCTGGGCTGACACGGCACCAGACGAGGTTCCTGAATCGCTCGCAGAGTTCACCAAGACGTCCAAGGCCAAGATCGAGGAGGCCAAGAAGGAGTTCGCAGACAATGCAGACATCCTCCAATTCATCAATGACATGGCCAGCATGGTGGGGACATTGCCCGAGAAGGCGGAGCCACCGCCATCGCCAGCGCCATCGACCACGGACACACCGATATTCGATTCCGAGTTCTTCAAAACTGAGATGGAGTCCCTTGCCAAGCACGCGCCGAAGAAGGAGCTCGAAGCCATCCAGAAGGCCAGAGCTGCATACCAGGACCAGCAGGCCGCGGCTGCGCGGCAGCTGGGTGCACCATCGAGCAAGGGGACTGGCAGCCGTCGGGGCCACCGCCCGTACGGGTAACGGCAGCGCGCGGACAGCGGCGACAGCTTCGACGGAGAGTCGTGACGGCCAGTCATTTGAGCCAAAGGTCTCACCAGCGTGCGCCAGCGCTGGAAAGGCCAACTTTTCTTCCCCTCCCTCCTCTCCTCAGTGCACCCGTTTTGAGACTTTCAATGGGTCCTCTTGGGGCTCCATCAAGAAGCGCCTCCTCGAGCTTGCGTGGGGACCCACCAAAGTTTTGTTTGCTCAGGAGGTGCACCTAGTCTCTGATTTAAGCATCGCCGAGGCCTCAGACTGGGCCTCTAGGCACGGCTGGAAGAGTTTTTGGGCCCCGTCGGTTGCCACTGCCGCCTTTTCCCCCTCGACTAATGGTTTAGGGGATATAGGCTCGTCAGCTGGGGTCGCCATCTTCGTGGCCGAAGATCTTGGGTGCTACACTCTCGAGGAACCCGTTGGGCCCCCTGGAGGTATTTTGGTGCCACAACGCGTCTTGGGAGTCGTTGTGGAGTTCCCCCAGACCTCGGGCATCCTCTGTCTATCTCTGTATGGGCACGTGAGTCAGGGCCTCTCGCCCGACAATCTCGCCATCCTCGAGGCCGTAGCCGACTTGGTTAAGGTTTCAGGGCTGCAGTACATCATAGCAGGAGACTTCAATGTCACTCAAGACCAGCTTGAGCATTCGGAGTTCTGCAACTATATCAAGGGTCAGCTCTTCACGCCAGTATGCACGATGGGCACCTGCACAGCCAGCAGTTCCGTTATAGACATGTTCATTGCCGAGCAGCAGCTCGCCAACGCAGCGCGGGGCATCGACGTCGATTTCGACTGGGATGCTAGGCCGCACTTCCCCGTTATGCTGGATCTGCCACCAGATTTTGGAGAGGTCAAGGTCCTTCAATTCCCAACCATACCCCCCCTCCCCTCCTCATTCGACCAGGATGAGGAGGGTGAGGACATAGTGCATCACAGCACCGTCTCTTGGGATAAAGTTCTAGGTCATATCAATAAGCTTATCTCCGCATTAGGTAACCGTCACAAGGTTGTGTTGCGTCTCATCTTTGCCTCGGCCTACGCGCACTGGGCCAACGCCGCCGAGCTCGAGCTCGCGCAGCGGACCAACACAAGGATTCGTGAGCGCAAGCCGACTGGCTTGAGAGCAAGAGCCCCACAGCCAACACTCAAATCCATAACAAAGAAGGATAGAGCTCACAAGCAGTACGGCCTCCCCCCTACGGCGCCGAGCTGGATCGCCGCGCGCATGCACCGCCTCGCCTGCTTTTTGGAAGTGGAGGAGGAAAGGTATGCTGGGAAGGTTATAGGCAGAGCATCTAGGCCAGCCGTTTTCGAGCTTATTTCCCGAGTTTTGCGTGCCAGGCCCCAACACGTGATGCAGAACGAGTGCACACGCGTGCTCCTGAGAGATATCCAGCAGTATATCACGGCCTTGCACGCAGACTTCGAGGCCGAAGCTTTTTGTTGCAGCAAGATTGCCGCCACTGTCGCGCAGCTGCTCTCATTCAAGGCCAGAGCTGACGCATGCGCAAAGAAGGTCATTTCAGATGTGCGGTCAGCTAATGCCAGCTCCTGGAAGGATTGGGTCGACAAGGCCCTTGACAAAGGGGCCAAGGCTGCTCGCAAGTTCATGAAGGAGCGCACCAAATGGGAGCCCGACACGGTGGTCATTGAGGGTAAGCTCACTGCCTCCATTCAGAGTACCCTGGACACCTACCAGGCCAAGTTCGGGAAATTCTGGGAGCCCTCGGCGGAGCCCCTCCACAGGGACAACGTCCTCCACGAGCCCATCGGGATCCCCTCAGTGGA